TTCATTTAATTTCCATACCTGCAGCCGTTTTCTGTTCATAATCACTTTCTAGAAAGTGAAAATAGCAAACAACACTGTTGCCAGTGGGCGTCCACCACGGTTTGTTGGCCCATGCGACAGAGACATCTTACGGCCATTGGATGCATAATGGCGCTAGTTTCAAAGTCCCACATTCGTATCTCAAGCTGGGTAAACATACAAGAAACTTAATCAATTATAATAAATAATTAACGATCGAAAGGCAAAGACGCTCACTAGTCAATTACTTTTTATTAGAAAATAAATTAAAGCTATATTTATCATAATATATTTGTCCTAAACAACAATATGAATATAGTCAATACATTTAATGTATAGGAATTACACAAAATTTCCAGTAATCTACTATTGACGTATGCATGTCTTCTTCTCTTTTACTATAAACAAAGCTTACAGTGACTGTTTGGAAATGTTTTTATGAAATGTCCACAAACCTAAATTCTTTTTTTAGTCCCCAAAGGGTCAGCAGTAAGAGTAAGGACTTACAACATTAAAATCTGGGGTTCAATTCCCTACAGTAGACAGAGTAAAAAGAGCCCACTGTGCCACTTTGCATTAAAAAAAGCAAACAAAAAAAAAACATTTTTCTAAATCAGTGAAGTAAGAGCCACGACTTCCAAGATTGGAGGCGAGATAGACAGTCCAGTTAATTAAAACATCTTCCTTTTAAGAAAAGCCACTGGTTCGAAATAACGTCTTAACTAATTTCTTAACTTAAAAATGTTGTTTAATGCCTACTATACTATAATCAAATGAAAAACTACGGGTTCAAATTCTCGTAAACCCAGTCACGTGCTTACTGTTGTAACGTGTTTTATCGTTTAGCGGGTTATTTTGGATTATTTGGGGGAAAATAATAATGTCAACTCCAGTTCGTGTAATAATAACGAATTGGTTAATTTTTCCAATAACGCTTGCTACAGACTACGTTCACTATGATACGGGCCTGAGTTCACAAACAAATTTGAACAGATATTCCGAGATTAATGGTATGTCTAACTCACAGAAAAACTTGCGTAAATACTTTCCTTGCTAATAGATGTAATAAACTCTCACTGAACTGAAAATCTAATTAAATAATAAATAATTCATTCATTAATTAACTGCTCATTCATTACTTATTGATTTACTGCTTCACTTTACTCTTACTTGTATCGTTCTCGTCTTTTACTCATTCAACTAATTTTCACATCATATTATCCCGCGCCCTATAATAAAATCTAAATCAAAACAATGGAAATAAAGCTTTCACTATCACCTATCTTAAATACTTTTCAGTAGAAAGATTTACGTGACGTAGTTTTTGCATCCTTTTTAGTTGTTCAAAATGGCGGTGAAAGAAGTTAGCGAAAAATGTGTAGCATGTAATGAAGATATCGTCGAAGGAATTGATTTAATAAAGTGTAGTGTAAAACATTTTGGTGCTTACCATTTTTACAGTGCTGGATTTACAAATCATATTTTCGTAAGTTTTCAAAAGTAATTAGATCAAAACGGAGGTGTAACAAATTAGTTAGGAAGAACACGTTAAAAAATTAGTAACAATGATACGGACTCAAGTAAGCCTACTTTAAGTTTATTAGTGTTACATCTTACAAGTAAGGGAAATTAAAAATTATACTGTATTGAGTTAATTTTCAATGTGTCTGAAAGTGTAACTGTTAATTTTCGACTTTATTGTTCAACTTCATTAAGCTTTTATGTCAGGTTTGAAATCTCCGCTGTTATTGTTAACAAATCTTTTTCACGTTTTAATTTTCCAACTTCAT